GCCCTTGTCCCACAGCCTTGTAGAAAGCCGAACATTAGTGTCAAATTCAAGACAACGATCTAAATTTGAAGCAGAAAAAGCAGATTTACCTGTTTCCAAGTTGAGCTGTATATTTCATTGATAATCACTATATTTAGAATTGTTGGTGGAAAGTATATCATCAGTATTTGTGAAGTAATAAAGGAGTAATTCAGTCACCAAGGGATTACAATTTGTTTCCCATTGGGATGTCTATATGTATATCATACATATATCATGTACCTCCAAACTTGTTAAATATGATTTCAATCAGAAATTCCAGAATCCTTAGTCTTCACTGTAGAAAATGAAAATTTAGGTCGCAGCGTGGATAATCTTCACTCTAACAGACGCATGCTCATTATATTCATCACTTTAACAATTTGTTGTTGTTTTATTATGAAATTAAATAGTAGACATTTTCGCATAAATATTTTGCATTTGTCATAGAATTTCGTCAAATTCACTCATATTTCATTTATATAAACAATACACGATTTATGAATAGACTACAAAATACCAGTGTGATCAAAAGTTGAAAATCAAGCTTCTAAAAGGTTTTATCCGCTATTCTTAATTACCAATGAAACCACAAATTGCGTATTGTATATACGTATTTTACTGAATAAAACGTTCTTGAATAAAATATTGAACTTTTCTCAAAATACGAGATTTCCTTGTCACATTTCGTCTGATTCTTAGTCCAGAAAGGTGATTGGTCTACAAGATGACTGTGTTAGCATTAAACTTGGCCAGATTTTCACAAAAGAGTATTTTGCCTTGGGAAGGAATTTCAATGTCTTTGCCAGTCAGTGACGATTGCTGAATCTGGATATTTGCTTGATTTGTGCTCCTAATAATTAGATAATGACCAGTCCGTGGTAAGAAGTGCAATAATCCCCATATAAAGACCTGCATCACATCATCTTCTGAGATGCTTTACACTAGAAAAATAGTATTAATGGTTGTTTGCCAGTTGCCAAACATTGGTGGAGCTCTTTTTCCTGCATGTGTCTGTCTGAAAGTTTCGGGTTTCGTGTTAGAGTCAATTCTATATCTAAAAGTGTTAGAATGTGGGTTAATCGTCGCAGAAGGTCCATCCAAAAAGAATGCTGTACGCGATCCAATCTTTGAATAGGAATACAAAGGGCATCAATTTTTTAGTTGATGTTGACAGTTTTTCAACGATTTTCAATGATTCATTCCTGAATGGGATCTGTCACATGCTGTTATGGTTGTTGTCTAGAAAGTTTTCGTAGTGCGAAGGCATATAATTTGAACTTTTTCTAACAGTAGTCATTGACTGAGGTGTAAGGTTGCATAAATACTCGGCACTGAGATAAACAGTAATTAATGTAAAAAGGACAATTCTGAATGTTTTAGTAGTCAATTGGTTAATAACATTATATGTGGGTATTAATATTTCTGTCAGTTAAAATTATATATCGCCTTTTGACAATGCAAATATTATAATAATACTTGCAACTAAAATTGGCTTGCTATAATTAGAAGATATATTTTATAGAATCTATTCACAAGCCTTATTTATATTTGATGGTTTTCATATGAACATTTATGCTAACATTTCCTTTTTGAATCTGAAACGTACGCGTTGTGACCATTCTGTGCACGTTTTGAAAGCCTGTTATCAGCCGGCTCAGCTTAATAACTTAATATTACATGTATGATCGTAAATAATCCATCGACTCTTCACGTTTTCCTCGTAAAGGCGTGTTCCCACTCTTGAGTTCCTATTTTTTTAATTTTTTTACTACCAACGTGTAGGTTCAACCAGTACAATCGTGTCATCCATTTCGTCAACTGAACCTTACAATTCGGAACTGCTGAACGATTATTATTCATCAACTTTGCATATTTATCACAAAGGTCTTTTTTGTCGGGTTGATGAATCCGTATTAGTATATTATTTTAGAATTGTCTGTATTTGGTTTCATGTAATAGTTGGTTTAGCATTATCATATAGCATTACAAACAGGTAGTCCACGTCATGAGTCACATACCCCTCGTCTCGATATTATCGCTATATCCCAAACGGGGGTGAGCGATAGCAATAGAATTGAGACAGATGGTCTGGGGGTAGTCACACGTTGTGCTTATGGGCAAGGAAGGAAAATGGTTGCAATGTCGTTGTAATCATTTTCAATTTTGACGACGGATCGTTTCTATTGAGATGAAATCATCGTGTCAAGTGATAGAGTTTCTTTATTTAGTTGTAGTTCTTTTAAAAAAAAAACATAACACCTGCTCTTCTTGCGTATACCGCAGCAACAAGGGATTACTTTTCAGCACAGTTCTCCAGTCGAAAGCTGAAAAAAGAATTAGGTATTGATGTTGGACTACGTTGCCCATAGGAGAGGTTATGAAGCACTGACTTGTCCTTTTTATGTCATTTTCATTACGAATATTCGTCGGAGCGAATAAATAGAATTTTCTATGAGTATTATAAAGAGTGATTCGAAATTCTTGTTAACGTTTGTAACGGATTTTATATATATTCATTCATTTGTCAACAAATTTCCCATCCTACCATATCCCGTCGCCACAGTAAATTGTGTAAATTCGGTCCCGGCGGTCAATGATCTGTAGAAAACCTGTCACTGTAATCGAAACATCTTTTATGCGCGATATATGGGTCTTATATGAACAAAGATGGCGACTTTTTCGCAGACCAACGAGTATAAAACTGAGACGTTACAAAGCTTTAACTATGTAATCTTTGGTGATTTGAAGGTATCACCGGCGGTAATTAGTGCAAATCGCGCTCAAAGAAAACTCACACGCGCGATTCCCATCAAAATAGCGCATTGGATTGAGGGAAAATCAATGTTTATCAACATAAAATTCGCACCTGCGCGACGCATCGACCACCGACCTTTAAAAAAAAAGATTTGTTTACCAGTGTCATTCAGAGGTATCCCGCCGTCCTTCGCACTTCATGGCAGAGAAAAATCCTTGTCCACAGGACCAAAAATTAACAGGGAGTAAATTACGATAATGGAAGTATTGCATATGCATGACCAATCACTTGCTTGCTCTTTACCACTAACAGAATATTTGCTGTAATACTTAACAAAGAAACTCAGCAAGAAAAGTCTGTCGGCTTAAAGTGAATTTGTTATAACTACCCCCCCCCCCCCGGAAGAATTGCAAGTTGAAATGTTCATATGTTACAAAATTCTATTCTGCTTATTAAGCTTGCCGAAATAAATTGTTTTCTTGTGTAGTTTCAACGCTGCTTGACCTACCTTTGGTGATTTTGTTTGTGGTGACGTATACAAAGTTTAACATTTTCAACAATACATGGAATTTTGGTGTAATATTCGGGTCTGATATTTTCGAAATATGCGGAAAAGCGTTTTTGCGGAAAACGTACGGGTATTTCATTGCAGACCAATTTCCTTAATTTTTTTGGAGTACATAAATCAATCATTTGGAACATTTTCTTTGCATCATATCATATCCTAGCAACCATGACAAGGCACAAATTGCAACTGTGGTTGAACATTTTTGATTTTTTTTTTCTTGTTGCACCATGTTTATGTACAAGGAATTCCTTCTCGTGTCAGCATAGAATGTTTTAATAAATCCGTGGAAGAAATTGTCGGTGATGCAGACACTGCGAACTAAACTGCTCTAAATTTAATACTTATATGGTATCTAGGTCAATGTTTGTTGAGATAGATTTCTGTTTTTAAGACATTTATCAGACTCATTCTTTATACATGTGTACTTCGAGATTTATTTTGTGTGATTAAAATGTGTATGCAATTACAAAACACCATATAGTAAACACACTTGATGATATACCTAACAATGGCTCCGTAACAACGACTACCAATTTGTAGTT